GTTAGAGGTCAGCGACCCGGCAGGCCCTCTGGAGGAGTCAGAGGCAGTCCCATAGAAAGACCTCTCAGGCTGGGGCCCCCAAAACTGGATGCCATGTCTAGGCGATGTGACCACCTCCATTTCCCTGCAGTCGATCACGCATCGATACATGACGTGCACATAGTGTCCCCTCAGTGCACTTACCTGACCTGACTGGAATTAAAATGGAAGATCCCATATAGGAAGAGGAATATGCCTGGCACAGCAGCTAGCAATAGGATGTAGGTGTACCAGCCTAGCCAGGCAAAATACAAGGCCACCTTCTCCCCAAAATAATTCCTGAAAGACAAGGCAGGAGATGAAACCAGGTACCCCCCCCCTCTAGTTCCAGATTTGCAGTGACTATATCCAATGTCAGCCAAATGCTCTTTGGCAGTGGTCTCCACTCTGGAAATCCCTTCTGAATTTTCCCCTCAGGACCTCAGGATTGGAGATGCTGTCCCCGTATATCTGTGAGCCCCATAATCTTGTTCTCCTTAGGTCACTGGCCCCTGCCCTGATAATACAGGCGTTAATGATCTGGAAGAGAGGGAGGATGAACAATGATGTGGCAAATGTCTCCTGAGAACACAAATCTGAACACTCAGGTTAGTCAAGGCCAGAGAAGAACGTGGGGAAGTTCTGAGGGAGTAACCAAGCCGAGCGATTTAGCAACCAGATAACCCGTGGGAGGGACTGATTGGAGTTGCTCGTTCCTGGGTTCTCAGTGAGCCTGTAAGAGACCCAGGCATCACTGTCAGGGAGTTTGCTGAAGACCTCTGGGACGTGCAGCTGTAGTCAGAGTAAACAAATCTGAGACTTAACACCGAAAGAGAATGCCTCCATATAGAGCTAACGGTGCAGCTTCATCTGGAACCCTGTGTTCTGTCCTGATCCCCCCCATCCCCAAAAGGAAAGCACAGATTCAGAGTAGGGATGTGAGCAGCTAGTGACTTGACTAGCTGCTTTCCTCCCACCTTGCTGCCTCTATCAGGGTACGTCTACACTAGCCCCCTAGTTCGAACTAAGGAGGCTAATACGGGCGACCGAAATTGCTAATGAAGCGTGGGATTTTTTTTTTTTTTTTTGGAAACTAACTAGCCTGAAGTAACTGCCCGCGTCTACACGCAGCAGAGAAGTGAGATTCCGAGATAATCTCCTTAGTTCGAATTAACTGTTACTCCTCGTGGAATGAGGTTTAACAGTTAATTCGAACTAAGGAGATTATCTCGGAATCTCACTTCTCTGCTGCGTGTAGACGCGGGCAGTTACTTCAGGCTAGTTAGTTTCCAAAAAAAAAAAAAAAAATCCCACGCTTCATTAGCAATTTCGGTCGCCCTTATTAGCATCCCTAGTTCGAACTAGGGGGCTAGTGTAGACGTACCCACAGAGATAGGCAGCAAGCAAAGGATGCTGAGGGGAAGCCAGCTTAAAAGCCAGTTCTCCCCAGCACTGTCTCCATGGGGGCCGTAGGGGCACAGTGGGGACTAGCGGTGATGCTGCCTTTTAAATGGAGCAAGAGTGGGGCTCTTGCTACATTTCAAAAGCAGAAGGGCTGTGGGAGCACTGGGCAAGCAGGGGACTCAAGCAGTCCCCCGCTGGCCCTGCGCTCCCTACTTTTGAAATGCAGAAGAGCCTAACCCTAAGCCCCCACTCTTGTACATTTCAAAAGTAGGGAGCACGGGGCCAGTGGAGCACTGCCTGAGTCCCCCACTGGCCCCGTGCTCCCTGCAGCGCTTCCACTTTTGAAATGTAGCAAGAGCTAGCAGGGCTCTTGCTACATTTCAAAGGCAGAGGTGCCCTTATCAAGTGATCGAACAGTCGATGCAAATTGCATCGACTGTTCGATTAGTTGGTTAATCTAAATTTAACATCCTTCATTCAGAGGGTTCAGAGATGGTCAGTGAGAAGGGTTTGGGGGAATGCGGGAAAATAACCTGTGGTGAAGAAATTGAAAAGACTGGGATTCTTTATTTTAGCAAGGGGACTAATAAAATGAGACAGTCATTACTTTGTATACTTGAATGGCCCATAGAAGGTAGGTCAGGAATTTCTCATGCAGTACAAGAATAAAAATGAAACATGGTAACTGAAAACGCAGTCAAAGGAAATGCAGTTCTAATCCGAGCAAAGGAGCATGAGGAACTCATTGCCACTGGATACAAGAGAGGCCCGGAGCTTAGCAGGATTGAAAAAAAAGGGCTGTATATTTCTATGGAAGACCAGATTATCCAGGGCTACAATCTGTAAGGGTTAATATATCCAGGGGGTCTGAAAGGGATTTAGCCCTCTTGGTCACAACATGAGATGTCTGGGAGAAGGATGTAGGGGGACAAAAAGGCCCATTTCTTGGGGGGCAGGTCTCATAATTACCTGCTGCAGAATTGCTGCACCTACCTCCAATGCAGCTGGCCGCTAAAGGATATTAGACTAGAAGGACCAAGAGTCTGATCTAGTGTTAACAAAATCCTATTCTCCCAAACCCACAGCAGCCAGGTGGGCTCAAAGGGAAGCAAAACAAGTGTGCCCAGCTGCAGTTTGAGCTTGGAGTCATCTGGAGAACTAAGAGGAGCAGAAGGAGCTGGGTGCTCAGAGCCATGGACTGTGAAGTTATTCTGACTCCTGAGTGCTAGCTGGTTGTTTTACACTGTGGCTTTGTGTGGTCCCCTTGGCTCTACTCTGGGCGTGGATTACCTGGAAGTCTCAATTTCCTCCTTGCACTTTTTCCTTCTCCATGGAGCCCAGAACATCTTCAGGGATTTTCTCCTCTCTTCTGACTGGAAACAGCAGCATGCAGATCAGACACAGAGAGAGAGACAAGACACCTGCCAGCCGCCCCCTTTGCACATCCCACGCACTCCTACTAGGACGTTAGCGAGGGCTTTTTCCAAACACAAGCCAACAACACCCTCACCTAGCCAAAGGAGCTATAAGACCGTGACCAATTCCTCCGTCTTCCCAGCCACTCCTCCCCTACTAACCTACATCCTCTTCTGCATTTGCAGTCCATACCCGTTTCTGCCTGTGCATATATACTCTCAGCCTGGAGGCACTTGCCCGTTCCTCACCTCGTGCAGTGGGAATGCTGCTTCAAAGACCTTCTCCTTTATCAGCTTCCAGAGACACTCTAGCAGCAAAGCAGGAACAGGAAAGTTAGCGATGACAGGCCAGCACAATTCCCCAGCCCCATGCATACAGTAGAACCCAGGCTGACCCTGCATCCAAACTCCCCTTAAGAGAAAAGGCTCTGGGTGAAACCTGCAGACAACTGGAGGTCAGATGTTCAAAAGGAATGGGCAGTGAGGAATGGGCACGGCCATTGCAGACAGAGCATGTAGAACATGCCTAGGCAAAAGACGTCCCACGGGCCAAATTCAGCCCACCAAACCATTGCATCCAGCCCGCGGACACAGCAGGGAGCTCCAGGCAGGCTCCCTGCTTTCCTCGCTCCACCCACATGCTGCTCAGAAACGTGGCTGCTGGGTGGTTTTGCTTTAAAATCTGTAAGCCTGGAGGGAAGGGGAGGGGAGAAAGCTTTAGGAGCTGCTCTGTCCCCCAGCACAATCCCACAATCCTATTGTCTGGTTTTTGGCTGAAACTAGCCAATGGGAGGTGCTTGTTTCAGTAACAGGCAGACAAGAAGCACCACATCCCTCTCCTCTAGGGCTCGTAGTTATTCACAGAGCACATGGCTGCAGCCTGTGTGGGGACAGGGCAGGGAAGGAGGCCCCTTCAGGAAAGTGCTGGGCTGCTAGCTGGTAAGTCTCCAGGACAGAGCCTGTCTCTGGCTCCTGAGCCAGTCCCTCCCCCAACCCTCTACCCTCTACCCCAACCCACTCCAGCCTTGTAATCCACATACCCAAATCCTCTGCCCCCCTCCTTCACCTATATCCCCTCCCAGATCTGGCACCCCAGTCTGCTGCCCAGATCAGAGTCCCCTCCTGCCCTAGTTCACAACCCAATTCCCTGCCTTAGGTCACAATCCCTTCTCTACCCCAATTCCCTGCTTTAGGTCACAAACCAACCCCTTGTGCCTCAGTCCAGTGCCCCAAGTCACAACCACCTCCTTCACCCAAACTCCCTCCCTTACCCCAAGCTCCCTTCTGCACCTAACTTCCATCCCAGACCACACACCTCCTCCATTAATATCATGGAAGAATGCGGCCCTCAACCACTTTCCAAAATCTTGGAGTACCCTCTCCCCCATCTAAAATTCTTGCCCACCCCTGACATAGAACATCCCCCACCGGTCAGTACACAGGGTGCTGATGATGGCAACCTCAGCAGAGGCACTGTTCCTGCTGCCCCCACAAGTATGCCAAGATTTCTGTACAGCACCTGTCACACTGGTGTGCGCACGAGGTCACGTGCCAGCTCAAGTGTGCCCATGGGCAGAGCTAGGAATGCAAGTGATTGTGTGATTTGCACTAGAGGTGAGTATTTGTGACTATCCACATGGGCCCTGCAAGAGAGAGCTAGAAAAGGGAAAGTATTTCCTTACCTCCAGAAGAAATCCTTGTGTGCTGCAGGATAAAGTTGACGACATAGATCCTGGAAACCCAAATGGGAAGAATTAAACACTGAATGGTGAGCACGGGTCAGTGTAATTGCCTGGGATTATCAGGGAAATGGGAAATAAAGATAAAGACCAGGACTTTAATAGGGTTCAAAAAAAGAGCTAGATAAATTCATGGAGGTTAGGTCCATCAGTGGCTATTAGTCAGTATGAGTAGGGTTGTCCCGAGCCTCTGTTTGTCAGAGGCTGAATAGGTGACAGGGGATGGATCACTTGATGATTCCCTGTTCTGTTCATTCCCTCGGGGGCACCTGGCATTGGCCACTGTTGGCAGGCAGGATACTGGGCTAAAGCAGTGGTCTCTAACCCCAAGATCACTTTTTAAATGTCAGGGCAAGCCAAGACCTACCCGATCCCTTCCCCAAGAGCCCCCCACACTTTCTTGAGGCCTTCTCAGTTCCCCTCCTCCCCATCATTTGCTCTCCCCAGCCTTTACTCACTCTCAATGGATTGAGACAGGATGTGCGGGCTCTGGGGTGGGAATGAGGGATTTGGGTGTGGGAAGGGGGGAGAGGTGCAAGCTGTGGGTGTAGGATGTGGGAGGAGGTAGAGAAGGGGCTGCTGGCTCAGGGAGGGGGCTGCAGGCTGAAGAGGGTTGGGGTGCTGAGCAAGCCGCAGGCTTGTGGATGTGGGGGTGCAGGAGTTTGGGTTAAGGTGTGTGAGGGGCTCAGAGCAGAGAGGCTGGGAGTATGATGGGCTCAGGACACAGAGTAGCAGTGTGTGGATGGTGCAGGAATGTTGTGGCAGACTGGGGATGTGGGGGTGCAGGAATTTGGGGCTGTGAGGGGCTCAGAACAGGGGATTCCACTGTATGATAGGCTCAGATTTGGGGTCTGGGGGGGGGGTGCAGGTGTGTTATGATGCTGTAGCCAAATGGGGGCTTGGCCCCAGTTGGGGGTTTATTGGCCAGGACTCATTATGAAGTAAAATATTATGTCAAACACAAAAGGTTTCAGCATTGTCTTTATTTATGAGAGGGGCAGGGAACCTGTTTTAAGTCAGGGGTCACTGACCCACAGAAAAGTCAGTTGTGGCCCCACAAGTGAGATGCAAAAAAGCAACTCCTCTACCCGCCCGCCCCCCCAGAGCCTCACTAATGTAGCCCCCACTGAAACACCTCCCTCTCTTGGCACTCCAGTCCCATGTAAGGGAAGAGTAGGCAGGACTGAGGTTCAAGGTTCCAGAGTTAGTGGAATCTGTGGGCCTCTCTACACTCTGAGGTGGGGCCAAAAATGAGGGATCTAGAGTGCGGGACAGGGCTGCCAGTGAGTGGGATAGGGATAGGGGTGCAGAATCTGGGTGGAAAATAGGGTACAGGAGTAAGCTGGGGTGGGGATGGGGGGGGCAGGAGCAGGATGTTGGTAGGTGTTGGCCAGGAGGCGGGGCAGGGTGCTGGTGGGTGTCTGGCCACAAGGCAGGGGAAGGGTGCTGGATGGTATCTGGGCAGGAGCAAAGTGCTGGTGGAGGTCTGGCCAGAGGGCAGGGTGCTGGTGGGGTTCTGGCCAGGGGGCAGGAGCAGGGTGCTGGTGGGGGCTGGGTACTCATGGGGGTCTGGTCGGGGGAGGGGACAAGGACAGCTCAGCAGGTATCTGGGGAACCCACAGCTGCATACCAGGTCTCAGGCTGTTCTTCCCTTCCCCAGAGCCTTTAGCTATGATCTTTGAAAAATCATGGCAGACAGGGGAGATTCCAGAAGACTGGAAAAGGGCAAATATTGTGCCCATCTATAAAAAGGGGAATAAGAACAACCCAGGAAATTATAGACCGGTCAGTTTAACGTCTGTCCCAGGGAAGATAATGGAGCAGGTAATTAAGGAAATCGTATGCAAACACTTGGAAAGTAATAAAGTGATAGGGAATAGCCAGCATGGGTTTGTGAAGAACAAGTCATGCCAAACTAATCTGATAGCTTTCTTTGAAAAGATAACGAGCCTTGTGGATAAGGGAGAAGCGGTGGATGTCATATACCTAGACTTTAGTAAGGCATTTGATACGGTCTCGCATGATATTCTTATTGATAAACTAGGCAAATATAACTTAGATAGGGCCACGATAAGGTGGGTGCATAATTGGCTGGATAACCGTAGTCAGAGAGTTGTTGTTAACAGTGCTAAATCCTGCTGGAAAGGGATAACAAGTGGAGTTCCTCAAGGGTCTGTTTTGGGACCCGTACTATTCAATATCTTCATCAATGATGTAGATATTGGGATAGAGAGTACTCTTATTAAGTTTGCAGATGATACCAAACTGGGTGGGGTTGCGACTTCTTTGGAGGATAGGGACATAATTCAAAATGACCTTAGCAAGTTAGAGAAATGGTCAGAGGTAAACAGGATGAGGTTTAATAAAGAGAAATGCAAAGTGCTCCACTTAGGAAGGAACAATCAGTTCCATACATACAAGATGGGAAGCGACTGTCTAGGAAGGAGCATGGCGGAAAGGGATCTAGGGGTCATAGTGGACCACAAGTTGAATATGAGTCAACAGTGTGATGCTGTTGCAAAAAAAGCAAATATGATTCTAGGTTGTATCAACAGGTGTGTTGTAAGCAAAACTCGTGAAGTCATTCTGCCGCTCTATTCTGCACTAGTTAGGCCTCAGCTGGAGTACTGTGTCCAGTTCTGGGCGCCACATTTCAAGAAAGATGTGGAGAAATTGGAAAGGGTACAGAGAAGAGCGACAAGAATGATTAAAGGTTTAGAGAACATGACCTATGAATCCAGGCTTCATGAACTGGGCTTGTTTAGTTTGGAAAAAAGAAGATTAAGGGGGGACATGATAGCGGTTTTCAAATATCTAAAAGGGTGTCACAAGGAGGAAGGCGAAAATTTGTTCCTCTTGGTTTCTGAGGACAGGACAAGGAGTAATGGGCTTAAAGTGCAGCAGGGGAGGTTTAGATTGGACATTAGGAAAAAATTCCTAACGGTCAGGGTGGTCAAATATTGGAATAAATTGCCAAGGGAGGTGGTGGAATCTCCCTCTCTGGAGATATTTAAGAACAGGTTAGATAGACATCTGTCAGGGATGGTGTAGACGGAGCTTGATCCTGCCTTGAGGGCGGGGGGCTGGACTCGATGACCTCTCGAGGTCCCTTCCAGTCCTATTATTCTATGATTCTATGATTCTATGAAACAGCCAGCACGCTTCCTGAAAAGCCAGGGACTTCCTTCCCACTGCTGCCTTCCTGCACGGGGTCGGGGAGGAGTAGGAGTCTCAGGACTGTGCACCAACCCCAACTTCCCAGGAAGCACGCTGGCTGTAGTGGGGAGCAGAGGAGGAGCATGTGCTTCATGAGAAGTTGGAGCTGATGCACAGTCCTGGGACTCCTACTCCCTCCTCCCACCCCCCACAGGAAGCAGGGGGAGGGAAGTCCCTGGTGGTGCAATAGACCCGGCTTTTTAGGAAGTGTGCCGGCTGTTTGGGGGAGGGACAAGCAGCTTGCTCACTTCCTAAGACTCCAGACCTGGTTCGCAGCTGTGGGACTCTCCCCTCGCCTCTGTCACAGGAAGTTGGCACTACTTTCATTTTTGTGGGAGGTTCTGTCTGCGCAGGCTCCTTCTTGGGGGTGGGAGGAAATGGGGGGGTCTGGAATGCCTCATGATCAACTGCTCATGCCCCCACAATCGACCAGTCGATCGCAATCTACAGGTTGGTAACCACTGAGCTAGATGGACCTTTGGTTTGACCTATTATGGCAGTTCTTATATTAAAGTACCATAGCAAGGCCCACAGATTCAGGAATGGGTTAAGAGACCTGGAGCAAGGAGACGAGCAGGAAGAGGAAATGAGGATTTGGTTCAGTTGTGGGGAATCGGTGGAGACCAGATTGGGGAGGCACAATGCATGAGGACAGGAGCTCAGCATCACTCTTTGATTTGAAGTGTTATTCTAGGGAGGATACCAAGCACAGCACAGTAATTCCCCATAGGGATGCAAGGAAGGGGGCCTTTGATCTAGCTAACAGTTGCTTCTCACCCTAGGGGACATGATCATCACAGGCTGAAATAGCAAACCCCTGCACCCTGTTGCCTTTGGGTATGTCTAGACTACAGGGTTTTGTCGACAGATACTGTTGACAAAGCTTCTGTCGACAAAGAGCATCTAGACTACATCCAGTTCTGTCGACAAAGCAAGCCGCTTTGTCGACATAACAGTGTGGACGCAAAGGACAGCGTAGATGCAATAATGTCTTCTATCGACAGAACTCTGTTGATAAAAGGCATTATTCCTCGTAGAACGAGGTTTACATATGTCGAAAAAACTGCTGAGTTTTGTCGACATTATGTCGACATAACTCAAAGGCAGTGTGGACGCAGGTATAGTTTTGTTGACAAAAGTCCACTTGTGTCGACAAAACCCTGTAGTCTAGGCACACCCTTTGAGATCAAGGAAACGCTCACCTGGTGGTGATGGGCACACCTTCCTGCTTGTCTTGATTCTGCCACCCCTTGTCTGGATTCCCCACCAGCCACTGGTATTTGGGGAAGATTTCACTTGGGGCTCGGATCCCCCAGAATAGCTTCTTGTCCTCGATTTTCTGGGGGCAGCATAAGAGAGAAGGGAGATTAGCAAGGGAGAGGGAAAGCAAGCCCTTGGAAGTATCCGGCATGACTAGAGCATCGGTAAAGAGCTGCTCTGTGGAGAGGTCAGGTCAGTGAGAGCGTTAAAGGGCACTCAGCTCCGGAGCAAACCTCTGCAAAACAGAGAGCCAAGAGGCAGAGGAGCAGCCATGTCCAAAAACTCTCATCCTCTTCAGAGACCTGTCCTGCTCCATTAACTCCCCACTTCATGCCTCTGCCCCTCCCCTTCTTCCTTCCACACTTCACTTCCCTGGGCATGATGGTTCTTTCTTTCCCATCAGCCAAAAGTGCTTGCATTTCTTCAAATTCCCTCTTCAACGCCTTCTCTCCTTCCTGGAGTGCTTCCTCCCTGCTCCCATCTCCAGGCCTGGGCTACACTGAAAAGTGACAACAGCATTGCTATATCTTCCAGTGGTGTAAAAAAAAAATCCACCTTCCTGAAGGGATGCAGCTATACTAACCTAACCCCACAGTGCAGACCAGTGGTTCTCAACCAGTGATACAAGTATCCTTAGGGTACTTGAGAGAAGTCTGGGGGGTACGTTAACTCAACTGAAATTTACAGAAAACTGAATTTTTATTTTAAGTTTTACAGCGCTTTATTATTTTTGTACTTTTTACAACCAAAAATTTCATTGCCTACCTGGGTATGATTAAGTTGTTTAAACAAATGTGTTGCAATGGTAGAAAAAAATGTGTGTCCCCAACAACTGTAGGTACTGGGGGTACTTATAATTTTTTTAAAGGGGTACTTTATAAAAAAAAAAAAGGTTGAGAAACACTGGTGTAGACAAGCACAGGTCAATGGAAGATTTCTTCCCTCAACTGAGCTATCACCCCTCAGTGAGGCAGATTAACTCCAATGTCAGGAGACCCGTCCCATCACCATAGTGAGCATCTTCACTGTTTCGTGACACTTCACCTCTATATTTTTATGGAAATATGTTTTTAATATAAATATGTGTATCTCAAATATGCTCTAGGCAAAACAGGTCAAGTAACTGATCAATCAAGAGCCTGTGATACCCTGAATGTGTATATTTTATTTGTGTGCATGTCTCAATCTTGTAGGTGAAGTTAGAAATATGAGCGAGAGCCATTAATTGCAGTTAGGGGCTTAATGGCTTGGTGCTCAAGGTAAATGTAAATCTGTGAATGGCTTTGTTTTTCCTGCAAACCCAAACTCTGGTTGGTCCTAGACATGTGACCCTGCCACCTGGTGCTGGAATCCATCTTGAATCTGGTATTTTCCCATGGGGACAGGGAGAGTTAAACGAAAGGTTCCCGCCATGGGGAAATTCTATTTAAGGAATGGAAAGCAATGAACATAATTTCTGCTTGCTTTTGATGACTGCCTCCCCACCCTAAGGGAATACTTAAGAAGCTGTTACACCCAGGCCAGAGTAAAGATCAGCCCTGACATGAAGGAATTTATCTGGAATAAGCAGAGGGCTGAGAAATACATTTGTAACAACCTATCTTAGAGTATTTGGCGTAATTAGCCTGTTTTGTTTATTTTGGGTTAGTAACTTCCTTTGATTTGCCTGTTTTCACTTGCAATCACTTACATCCTACTTTTTATACTTCATAAAAACACTTTTATTAGCAAACCCAGTGTAAATAATTATTACCAAGAGGGAGCCACAGCTGTTCATCTCTCATTGAGAGGGAACGTCTTTATGAGTTTTCTCTGTGTAAGCTGTAAGATAGATTTATTTGGGATTTTGGTCCCTTTTCAGGACTGTGCTTTTGGGTGCTGGCAAATCCTTGTAAGTGAGCCCTCCCAGAGCTGAGCTGTTGCCAGTGCTTGTGTTGCTCTGCTGGGGGGCTGTCACTCCAATGCTATGCCTTGGTTGGGGGAGATCAGAGCTTCTGGCCCAGCAGGACAGCTTGGTGGGGTGCCCCAGAGGGCAGACAGGTGGGCTCAGTGGTATGATCATAGCCTCAAGAGGACCTCTGTGATCCAACCTGTCATATTGGTAACTTGACAGGGTTAGATAAGGACACTACATCCAGGAAAAGGTGGATGTTGCCTCTCAGGGAAGAAAGCCATCTCTGGGTCTTGGGGATAAATAGATGTTAACGCCAGAAGAATCCGTTAGATCATTTATTCTGGCCTCCCATAGAAAGAGGGCCTTACCAAATTCATGGTCCCTTTTGGTCAATTTCACAGTCATATGAATTTTAAAATTGTAAATTTCATTTCATGGTGTTGTAATTGTAGGGTCCCAACCTAAAAAGGAGCTGTGGAGGGGGGATTGTAGGGGAAGTTATGGTACTGCTACCTTTACTTCAGTGCAGCTCCTGGCAGGGTGCTGCTTTCAGAGCTGGGTTCTCGGCCAACAGCTGTTATTTTCCAGCCACCTAGCTCAGAAGACAACTCAGAAATTCCCTGTAAGCTGGGCAATTGTGTGGCAGCTCAAGAGAGATTCAAATGCTGCCCAGCTGATGAGCAGAGCACCCACTGGTAAGTTTTGTTTCTACTGGTGGTGCTCATTCGCACATGCCTCAGTGCACATAAAATTTATTCTGCACATCAAGGGAAAAGATTAGAGGGCACATTGGTGAAGACTCCCAATTTGAGAAACATTGGTCTGCCTTGTGAAATCTGTATAGTATAGGGTAAAAGCATACAACAGACCAGATTTCATGGTCTGTGATATATTTTTCATTCCTCTGAATTTGGGTCCATCATATAAAAAATTAGCTGTCAACTCATCAGTAACTCTTTGCATTGCAGGAATTGGGTCTATCCAGAACAGGATCACAGGGTCCACTGGTGAGAAAGGGTTGGGAAAGAGGGAAAGCCCAGGACTGAATGATCAAGGAGGCCGAATTGTCTTCATCTCTGGAAAAGGTGGCCGCACTACGATTTCCTGGAGGAAAAAACTCAGCTTTGAATGAACAGCAAGGCAACAGATTGCTGAGAAAGCTAGGAACAAATTATTATACAGCTGTGAATTGCCTTCCTTATGCCCTCAACCACTGCTGCGACCAGAATGGGGCCAAGCTAGCCCATCTCATATGGAGGAGCTTACTGCGCACTAACAAGCACAAAAGGAAAGTCTTGCCTTGCGTAGGGAACCAAGCCCCACATATGTTTGATGGGAGTGAGCACCCAAGAGCCTTAGAACTGTGGAGACGGAACCCTGAATTGTCACTCCAAGAAGGAAGCCTCTGGTGGTGTCCCGTGGTCTGCATGGCGAGGAGCCCTGGAACTGCCTAAGTACAGGCTAGATCCTCAGCTAAGTCAATGCAGCCCTGTAGATCACAGCGGAACTGTGGGGACTTTTAGATCAGCTGAAGCTTTGGCTTTCTACCTGTAGAGTTATAAACCCAGCCGGTGGCTCAGCTTACAGGCGGAGGAGGGTCTAGGCTGCTGGGGACAGATGATCAGAAGAAAATTGCACAACATCTGGCTGGAAATCATTTTAGGCGGAGCCTCCCGTCTGCAGCTCTGAACAGGCCGATTACACTTTGTGACACGCACCATCGGGATGTGGGACTGTGATAACACGATGGGCTTTCCTTTGATGTTTTAAAAGAAAGAACGGGGCTGGGGGAGGAACCATGACCTGGCCAGCTCAAGGGCAAGAGGGGAAGGGAAGCTTTTGTGAGTCTTTCATGCGGGCTATTTCCCTTGCACTCCCTCAGCCAAATCCCCCAAATCCCTCCGTGGGGGCCGCCACACAGCTGCCTTGTAGCACTGGGAACTGGCACATGCTCTATGAAGATTACATAAGACAACCCAGGAGCAGCTAAGCCTAGAGTAAGGGGATGAAAATAGGTAGAGAGAAGACACACAAGTGGGCTCAACATTCACAAGTTTCCTCAGGACGAGGTCCATCTGCAGAAACATCTCCCCGAGGGAAGCGTTGGAAACCCCACCACTTGGGTCTTTGGCCACTGGATTGGCCACAGACCAGGAGAACGTGCTGCCAGTGCCAGGAGCAATCCAGCACTGGATGATCTCATAGGATATGTCTACACTAGCCACCCTCATTCGAACTAGGGTGGCTAATGTAGTCATTCGAACTTGCAAATGAAGCCCGGGATTTAAATATCCCCGGCTTTATTTGCATGTTCCCGGGCGCCGTCATTTTTAAATGCCCGGGTAGTTCGAACTACCTGCCCGTGGCTACACGTGGCATGGGCTAGGTAGTTCGAATTAAGAGCTTTAGCCGCGGGCAGGTAGTTAGAACTACCCGGGCATTTAAAAATGACGGCGCCCGGGAACATGCAAATAAAGCCGGGGATATTTAAATCCCGGGCTTCATTTGCAAGTTCGAATGACTACATTAGCCACCCTAGTTCGAACTAGGGTGGCTAATGTAGTCATTCGAACTTGCAAATGAAGCCCGGGATTTAAATATCCCCGGCTTTATTTGCAAGTTCGAATGACTACATTAGCCACCCTAGTTCGAACTAGGGTGGCAGTGTAGACATACCCATAGATCTTTCCTGGGTTCTGGGATGCAATAGCTCACAGCAAGAAGGGGGCTGAGTGATGTGGCTCAGCCAGGAATCCCATGTATCCGGTGATCTATCCTCCCCTAGTTAATCTCACCTTGAGCTGAAAGCCTTTGTTCTTCAACTCTTCCAAGAATTCCTTCCTCTTATCATCCTTCTTGCTGCCAGGCTTGTGTTTGTCGCATACTAGGACAAAGTCCCACTGCATTTGGTTCTGGCCAAAGAAAAACAGCCCAATGAAATCAGCTAGCAGTGGCATTGCAAAGCAGATCCTTACAGCTGCCTCCCTGGGTGCAGAGGCCAGACTCCATCTCAGCAGGCCAGTCTAGCAGGCCCCTAAGGATTCCTTCCCAGTGGGAACAGGTGAGGAAGCAACATCCCCCCACACACACACACTCCAACTGGCTTGTGAGGAGGCTCCCATTGTTGCTGGGATTACTGGATACTTTGTCTGCAAAGCCAAAGCAGGATGTCAGGACGGGGGCTCTCTCCCAGGACTGGAGAGGACACCCGGGGGGACTTTATCAGCACTAAGGGAGCAGAGAGGGAGAAATAATCAGATTGTGGTGGGATTTGCAATTTGAGGTCACATGAGTTGTGGGGAGGTCCCACACCACAGCTTGAATTTTAATGCTGCTGCAGCACCAGCTGGGGAAGTTGTAACTTACCGGAATCAAGGTCTCCAAGTGTTCTGAGGGAGCATCTCTCCAAGGAGGCAGCATAATTTCATCCTAGTGGAGAGGGAGAGAATGAAAAAAGGAGGGACATGAAGCATTCCATGGACTGACATCATCTCAGGACTGTGGGAATACAGGAAATGTCCCCATAGTAACCAAGATCTCCTGGGGGAGGACCCGCCTCCTTCTGCTGTGAGTAAGGGAGGGGCACCTCTTCAATGAGAAACTGAACTAGTTCCTCTTGGGAAGAGCAGGTATCCAGGGTTTCATTCCATATTGTAGCTTAGTGAGGGCCCCTCTCCCTTAACCACCGAAATAACATCTTACCAAGGGACAGAGTCTTCCATCCTGAGAACTTTGCAGACACCACAAAGAGTTTACACTAACAGCTTCCCAAAATGAGACACTGCAGGAGCTGGTTAAGATCACCCAGCAGCACTATACTTTAGCTTAAGATAGGAAGGGAAGAACAAATAATATATCTGAACTGCAACTCCAGAGAAAAAAAATCCAGCTGGGAAGTATTTCAGGGCCTGCCCAGGAAGTATAAGCCAAGGTACAGGAGGGCATGTGTAAGAAGCTGGCAGAGACATGTGATTGAACTGGAGGGGAAAAGATCAGGAGAGAGTGAGGAGCTGATTGCATAGAGGTGCTATTGGAACACATGGGATCTAATTAAACTACGGTATATAGAAACAAAGCAGAGAGGCAAGGGAGGAGCTATTTATATTTCTGTCTTTGGTTCAGTCTCTTGTTGGCTGAGGGGGAGAAGAGAAAGAGGGACAAGGGTTACAGGCAGGCAGGCAGTGGTTACAGAGTGCTTGGGGAGACAAAGAGGTCTTAGATTGCCCTTTGTGCATGAGCCTCTTCAAACACTGCAGAAAGCTCACTTCTCCTCAAACCCTGGTTGGGTAAGAGAGGGCAGGGTTTTCCCCAGCAGATCAGCTGACTGTGTGTATTTCCAATATGCCTGCTGATTTGTTTCTTCTTTGTTAGCCCTGCCCAGCTGAGAGAGAGGAGTGAGGTGGATTCTCCTCCTGTGTGTGTATCAAGAGAGTTGCTTGCCACTTTCAACATATGCAGAAAAAAGCCCTTGGAAGCAATGACTGGGCATAATCTGAAGACAATCAGGTTGTACAGGTGGGATTGGGGATATAGTTGACCTTAAAGGCTCGGCTTTAATTCGGTCACATCCTATGTGGTAGTCAGGGGGAGGAAGGAATATAGCCCGGAGTACAAATTAGGAGATAAAGGATGCATCTGACGAAGTTGGTCTTTGCCCATGAAAGCTTATGCTTCAACACTTCAGTTAATCTATAAGGTACCACAGGACTTCTTGCTGCTTTTGTAGATTCAGACTAACATGGCTACCCCTCTGAGTCTTATTACTAGCTCTCTGGCACTGACCGGCAGCTGGCCTGGAGGAAGTCACTTCACATTTTCTCTCAACTGCAATATTATTTTCCCACACCACAGGGGTGTAATGATGAGGAAGAGGAGCTCGTGGCTGCACAGAACTTCCTGAAGCATTGAGCACTGCAGAGAGGCTAAGTATGCTCATATATTTAATGCCTCTGGAGGGTGGGGAAGAGTAGTTTCAGGGGCTAGTGACCAGTAGTAGAAACAGTCACTCACACTGTGTGTGCTCTGTCCTGTAGACTTTACATTTGTCAGCTCCCTTCAAGACTGCAAGCATTCAGCACCTCTTTGTCTCTAGGGAAAAGAGAACCAGCTCCAAGCACTCCTAGGTAATAGTGTGATGATTAGCATACGCTACCAAGGGCTCTTGCTTCTTCTGTCCTGAGATATTTATGAGTCTACACAGCAGGGAAAGTGAAAACCATGACAGCTCATTAACTAACTCTTGAATAATGTTGAAAAGGCCAGCAGGGGTGTGGAGATGCAGCCCCTCCTGGGGCAACCTGGGCAAATGAGGAAAGGAACAGCTGGTTCCTCAGCTGGTGTGAATCAGCTGTTTTCTGTTTGCTTCAAATGAACTATGCCAATGCATACCTGATGAAGCTCTGGCCCCAGATGTCTTCTAACAGCATGTGGACCCTTGCAACCATCCGTGTTTTTTAGTGCCCTACCTTTGTTTTCCAGTACAGCCTCAGCATGGTCACTGGGACAGTGTTTCAGGCTGGGCAGACAGCTTAGATGTGAGGTTGGAGAGAGAGAGCCCAGCCTGGGTTTGCCTGTGGCCATAGGAAATGTGGATGCAAAGAGTGTTTGAGTGTTGCTGCTCTTAGTAGCTGGAAGGGAGAAAGAGAGTGTGCAGCCAGAGGAAAGGCATTTGTCTTCAGTCAAGTTGGAAAGATCATTGTAAATCTCTAGGAAAGAACAGAGTGAAGCCCAGTCTAAGGCTCATGTGGCTCCTTTCTGATAAGGGCCCCGGGCCAACCTTGGAGAAAATCTGTGATCACTTGTTCCAAAGAGGAAAGGAAAAATTCTCCTTTCTGATCTGCTGGACTTCTGCATAGAATTATAGAACTGGGAGGGACCTGGAGAGATCATCAGGTTCAGTCGCCTGCCCTCAGGGCGGGACCAAGTACCGTCTAGAGCAGTGTTTCTTAAACTGTGTTCCGTGGTACACCAGTGTGCCACGAGGCAGTCGGAGGTGTGACATGGAGACCAACAGAGTTCAAAATGGCCACCCTTAAAGGGCCCCCCCCCCAATAACTTTCCTCTGACTTTTCTTTCCCCCCCTCAATAACTTTTCCCCGGACTCTCTTTTTGTTGAGCGTAAAAAAAAAAAGTCCTTGGTGTTCCTCATAAAAACAATTATTGTTTGGTGCTCCTCCATCTGAAGAAATTTAAGAAACACTGGTCTAGATCATCCCTGATAGATGTCTATCCAGCCTGCTCTTAAATATCTCCAGTAATGGAGATTCCACAACCGCCCCAGGCTGGTGCGGCGAGAAGAAATTTACAGTAGACCTCTCTGTGAGATGTGCAGCCTGATCCAAAACCCCTCAGAGGAATTGAAAAGAGTCTCCTTGCCCTCCGTTGGGCTTTGGATCAGGCCTGTACAGAGAGCAGTATGCCCAGGCTGAGTACTGCCACCCTGGTCTGAGAGAAGACTTTTGCCCCTAGTAGATCCGATTCATCTAACATCTCATTATTTCAGCAAACTTCACCCATCCCTTTGACTTACAGGCACTTGAAAATAGGAGTGGTGCTCAGACTTGAGGCCAAATTCTCAGCTGCTGTAAACAGGTCAAGTTCCATGGGCATGTGCTTGTTCACAGCAAGACATGAGGAACTGGTCTGCATGCAAGACACAAGGCTAAAAAGTGAGGTACGTATTATCTGTGATGTGCAAAAGGAAATCTGCAAACAAACTTCTGAGCACAGTGGCAGGGTTAAGGCTCTCTTCTCACTGAGTCAACAACCCTGTGCAGCTAGACAGTCCTTGCTGTTTATTTTAAGTTGTGAAAGTAATAAGCAATGGGATCTAGCAGAACAGGCAGATTGCTGACTACACCGCTTCAGCATTAAGAGTCAATGACCCGTCTCTGAAAGGCACTGTGAAGTATTGACAAGTGACAGCACTAACAACATGCTTGGCAGAAAAACAGGTATTTGCTCAGCGTCCTCTGCAGAGTAATTTAAGCATCACTATTCAAATCCCTAATTAGGGATAGCAGGGGATGAATCAGTTCAGAGGTAAACTCAATCAATCACATTCATGCCTTCCAATGCAAAGTACGTTTGATTTACATTCGGTGTCTTCAAAAGCAGTGTCACTTCTGGAAGTGTGCAGGAAATACAAGAGGAGCAGATTAACCAAGACGGGCTGCATGTTCAGCCAGTGTCTTACAGCTCAGTGATACAGATATTCTTTACTCCATACACACTACTGCTGCAGTGGACCAAAGCTCGTTTGATAGGAGTATGGCCAAGGGGCTCTTAACTAGAAAGGGGCTCAGATGGCAAAATTCTGATCTGAATTTCCAGTGGTTCAAGTTTCAGCAGGGTTTAGATCTAGGGCAGTGGGTCTCAGACTTTTTGACCTATGGCCCACCCCACTCAATACAGACCTTTCTGTAAACCATTTGCCAACCACCCATGATGATGGACTGGGTGCCAGAGGGGGTGGGATGTGGGGTCTGATGGGAGAGGTAGGGCACAGGAGCAGGCTGAGGGTGGGGAGATGTGGGTGAGAGGGAGGGGTGGAGCGGGGTGGGTGTAAGGAGTCGGTGGGAGGGTGCAAGGTCTCTGTGGGAAGATGTACATGAGCAGATGGGGGTGTGGGATCTGGACACAAGGAGGATGGGGGCACTTACCTGGCTCTGTGCCTCCCTTTGCTCCCAGACACCATTCCTCACTACTCCCATTGGCCATGATTCTGGCCAATAGGAGCAGCAGTGAAAGCCTCCAGGCAAGTGGTTTCCTGCACTGCTCTTCCCTAGCCAGGGAGAGCGGGAGCACATGGAGTCACTTTCTTCCCCCACAAGCCAGATCCAGCCCATGAAGCTCCCTCTCCCACAGCGGGAAGCCAGTGCTGGCGCTCCAACCTCACATGGGGGGGCTGCAGGGCTGGAGTGCCAGTGGGGGCTCCCCACAGCTGGAGGGGGCAAGCTCTGAGCCTGCAGCCTACCTGCAAGATGGGCACAGACCACACTTTGAGAGCCACTGATCTAGGGCTTGGGGTCAGTGTATATAAAGTTAGAAGCCACTTACTTACTTGTTACATTCTGATCTGGATTCAGAACTTCCCCCAGAATGTTCCGAACTGGGGACTTTGGGTCAGACCTATTTCTCAGGCCCTCCACTCTTTCTGATGGGCCTTACGACTCTCTGTTACACTGTGGGTGCATCTAGACTGGCAAGATTTTGTGCAAAAGCAACTGCTTTTGTGCAAAAGCTTGCCAGCTGTCTACACTGGCCGCTTGAATTTGTGCAAGAGCACTGACTTTGTAATGTACAAAATCAGTGCTTCTTGCACAAACACTTTCATGCTCCCGCTCAGGGATAAGCCCTCTTGCACAAGAATACTTGTGCAAGAGGGCCAATGCAGACAGGCACCTTAATTTTTTGCGCAAGAAAGTCCGATGGCTAAAATGGCCATTGGAGCTTTCTTGTGCAAAAGCGCGTCTAGATTGGCAAGGATGCTTTTGCGCAAAAAGTGCTTTTGCGCAAAAGCATCCTTGCCAATCTAGACGCGCTGTTTCCGTTAAAAGTATTTCCGCAAAATCATGCCAGTCCAAACGTAGCCTGAGAGTCTAAATCTGCTCTCACGTGCACCATTGCAATCCCACTAGCCTCAGCATGATCACACCATGGTAAGGAGAAGAACTTCGCCTTTTCCTGAACTATTGATACTTTGAGGAATGCGTCCGCAAAAATGTGTGGACCAAATCCAGACTTGGTATGAGCAAGGGCAGCTCCATTGACATGAAAGGCTTGGCCTGGCTTCTGCTGATATCTCTTGTGTATGCCGAGAGGCTCATTTGTCACAACATCAGCATTGAAAGAGCAGCCAGAGACTAAGACTCAAAGGGCTGAGGGAGCCAGTCAGAGAGGAGGCATTAGTCTGACAGCGAGGAGTGCAGACCCAGCAGTGAAACATATCCATCAAAGGCTGTCGCTCACCGTTACTGTCAGCAATTGCTAAACTGTGGTGGCTTGTTACACATCCAGCAAATTAACGAGGTTCAGACCCAGTGGCTTCTGCTGGACTAATTACAGATCTGTAATATCTGTTCTCACAATGAGTATGGGCCAGCAGATTTGCCTGCTGCTACCGTCACTCACAACTGGGATCCATGTGCAAACAATTCAAGTTGCCAATGATCAGATATGTGACCCAGCTCAGCTGAATAGAAGGGAGGTTTCGACTGTACAAAGATTGACGTTCCTTCTTTTATTCCATATGAGACTTTCAGTTTTTAATTTGTCAATGCTCTCTAACTTCCTGGTCTCCCCGTGAGTGATTGGAGCCTGGAATCTTACATCACAACTTGCTTGTATAAGTAGCTTTCAGCCTGTGCGCTAGAACCAGAAGAACTTGTCTGCCCCCCATGTCCACAGTCACAGCTTCTTAACTGAGCCAGTGCCCGGTAACACAGCTGATGCTCCAGTATGTGGGGAGTAGACAAGAGGGCACTACCTGACTATAACCAGATATGTGCCCATCCCCAGCGTTTACTGGCTTGAAAGCCCCACCCTCCCTCCCCCACCTCCTGTCTTCCCACAGTGTTGACACAGAGCCCGTGGAGCTCTGAAATTGCTACTGCACCCCTCTGTTAGGCCATACAGGTAGTCTGTGGCCCAGCTGGGAACAGAGCTGACATGATCCCACCCTCCACTTCAACTTCTAGAAAATGCAGACACACAAGGGAAGTATGAGAGGGGCTTCAAGCCCTCTTTGTGCCTCTCTGATCCTCAGGCTGCTCTGCACCACTCTGCTTCTTCTGTTCTGCCAGACAAGAAATAGGGTGGCACAGGAGCATGATAGTGGCTTCACACCATTTGAAAGTGCCCTGGTGCATCTGACCTGTTGCCTCTCTAAGGCTCACCCTATCTGGTTCTCTCCCATCCCCTTCTTCTGGCCCTTGTCTATGTGAGACGTATTCTAAGGCTATGTCTATGAGGGAATCCCAAGAAACGCAGGGATCAGCTCCGCCTTCCCACAACACTGCACTGTGGGATGCTTACCCACGGTGCTTTGCTCTGTCTGTCGACAGGGAGCTAGCAATGTGGCCACTAAATGTCGACCGTGGGAAGGAGAAAAACTGGTGTGACCGGTGTTCAGTTTTGGTGACTGTTGCATGTCGGCAGCACTTTCCTCACCAGACCTTCACAGGGTAGACATGGTTGTAATGGCACAGCCCTGCGTACAGCTAGCACTACTCCAATCAGCTTGCTTTCCCAGAGCCAAACGGGAAGGGTAGCAGCAGAGAACAGCTTTACATTACCAGGACTGGACCAGGGAACTTCTCCAGGTCATTTACACTCCTCCCTGCTTCAGGCAAACCTGTGTTTTCCAACCCGTCTTTCAGGCAGCCTGAGTGGGAAATGCCCCAGGCATCCGTTTCCCGCCAATGTCAATCAGTTTAGAAATAACCATTAAATAGCAAATAAAATGTGATGTGTCCTCCGGGGCTAACTCCAGCTGCACTGCCAGCCAGAACAGATGAGCTGGGAATAGCCAGCTAGGGAAGACTGTGGGAAGAATTAAGTTGTAGAGGCACCACCCTACTGGCTGGTGCCTTGTACTTTGTCTCCAACATGCCCCCTCCCGGGTCCCAACAATCCTCTTTTCCACGCTGCTTTTTGCCCTCCTCCATTTAACACCTACTTCCTGCCTATTGCTCTATGGGGAGTGTTCATTATTGTTTCCACAGCAACCATAACTTGGTCACAGTGCACACATGCATATTCAATGGCATTAAAGAGAACTCCATACCTGGCAGATAAAAAAATATATGAACAAATTAAACCCAGATTGCTGAAAACTATTCACTAACACTGCACCTGAGCCTCTTGGGAACTGGCTGATTCATAGGAAAAATGTCTTCCCAATGCCTCCTATTCCAGCCAAGCTCTGCCTAGCACAAGACCAAGGCAAACACAAAGGTGGCTATAAGCACCACATACTGAAGTGTTCTAATTTTTTTACGTTCATGGGCTGAATAAATTTTGTTATGTGCACCAAGACATGTGCACCACCTCTAGAAACACATGCTGCTGGCTGTAGGAGGCGGTGGGTGCTCTGCTAATTAGTTGGGTGGCACCTGAATCTCTCCTGGGGGCCACCCAAGCACCCAGCTTACAAGGAACACTGCTATCCTGCACCAGCCTGGATCTCCAGCACAAGTCACGGCAGCCTTCAGGTTGTTCTAACTTGTGCTGCCTGGCTAAGGGGCTGCTATAATCCTTTCCCTGGACATCACTGGAAGTCCAATTTTAGGACAAAATACATCCGAGGAGCTACTACATAGCTCTACTCCACCAGGTATAGTCCTTGCCCAGGGGAATCCTCAAGAGTTGGTTAAACTAATTCTAGGGCTGCAAAGTGTGTCTGGAACAGCACAAGGCAGCCAGAGAAGGACCACAGAGCTGGCCTTGTGCGCAGCCAAGGAGGCTGAATTAGGGTAACTGTGGCAATTATGTCTCTGAATTGGCTATGGTCTGTGTAAAATGTCAGCCCCTAATTTTTGCCTTTAACTGACAGAAGTTATCCCATCTCTTCCCTGCCCCATATTGGGAGAGCAGATAATCAGCTCCACCAGGTGAGAGAAGCCAGGTGAGGAAACATGTCATCCCCCTCTAGAGGGGGTGCTGGCAGCTGTTGTGCCAAGCTGTAAATCCTGTATATAATGGAAACCACTTCGAGCCAGGGGGTGCTGCAGCACCCCTCCCTCACCTCTAGTTCCAGCACCTATGTCTCCTTGCCACACTTTTAGCTTTAGCCTGCACAAGCCCCCTCCAGAGAGTCCTAAAGCATCTCAGGCTGAACCCTCACATGTGGAACGAGTGGTCCTGTGGCACCTTAGACACTAATCAAAATATAGAGACTCATGAGCTTTCATGAGCAAAACCAACCCAGTGCCCTATGACTCAGTACTGGGTCACGTCCCGTGGTTTGAGAATCATTGCTATAGGCCACAAAGCGCCTGTGAGTAGGGCTACGGGACTGTTCACATGCACGAGAGTTATTCACTTGAGTGAAGTCTATAGGGCAGAGGTGGGGAACCTAAGGCTTGGGGGCCAAATTTGGCCCTCGGCTTGCCAGGATCCAGCCTGCCAGGCTTGAGGCTCCACCCTAGCATTTGGGAGCCCCGCATGGGGCTGGCGCACACAAAATATACTAGCATGGGACCCCCTAGGCTCTGGTGTGTATGAGGAATGTGGGGAGGGTCTTTCTGCTTCTCAGTTGGGGGCCACATCAGTGAGGTGGGGTTTGTTGGTTTGTTTGTTTTGCCTCTCACTTGTGTGGGCTCCCTGACTGATTTTTCTGTGGGTCAGCAGCCCTGGACCCAAAAAAGGTTCCACCCCCATAGGGTTAACGCAGCTGTTTGGAGACCTACCACAATGAGCATTCATATATCTATCTGATCTTCAGGAACCATTTGCAACAAGCAGCTCATCTCCACAGATTCTCTGCTCAGCCTACAGACATTCCAATCTGGCAGGAAACTTGAACTGAATTGACACAAAATACATGCCTATATTTCCTATTCACTCCGGCCTTCCCGGGAGATTCCAAGAATCCTGTTTGGACTCAGGAAAATCAATGCCTGATTTCTTTCTTTCTTCAAAACCTCTAATTGTCAAAGCTTAAGAGCCTCTTAGCTGATGTAAAAAAAAAAAAAAAAGTGACTCTCCACAGAAATCGGCAGAGCCCTTCAGAAGATCTGAGTCCAAGTTTCAATGAAAATTATTTCTCCATCGTCAAATAGTTGCTTCCCATCTCTCCTTTCTTGATTTGAAAACCCCCCCCCCCCCCTCCAGAAGCGGCGGCTGTAAGCACTTTGCAGAGCCAACTGGGGCAGATGCCAGGGGAGATCGTTGAAATGGCCATGACCCCGACTGAGTCGGTTTCCCGCGGCGAAGGCAGGCTCGGTTTGCGGAGCGCGTTCCAAAGAGGATCGTGCTGTTTACACGGCGTCTGAAGCGCGAATGAGAATCGGTTCAGACTTCACTTAGGTGCCTGGGTTGGACAGGCGCTGAGCAGTGTCGCCTTCTTACCTGCATGGTGGGGAGCAGAACCAGCCGCTCTCCCCCGAGATCGGCCCCTCCCGGGCGCTGCTGCTGCTGCCCCCTCCTCGGGCTCAGAAGCGTCCCAGGGCTCCGCTTCCACCGGACTGAGGCGCTTCCTCCTCCCGGCCCGGCAGGAGCCTGCTGCTGCTGCGGCTTCTCACCTGCTGGGGCTCGGAGTCCGGGGAGTGGCGCTCGCCGGCGGGTGGCTGCCTTAGGCCGGTGTAGCGACAGAAAGTGAAACTCTCCGTTTTTGCGATGGAGAAGTTAGTGTTTCTGTCGTTACACCGGAGCCCTGGGCTCATGGGCCCGCCTGCCTCTTCCAAAGTGGCCCCAGTCTTGGGGTGGGCTTTAGGGTTTCACAGGGAGTGGGGTTACACACATACCTCTACCCCCAGAGAGGACACACACACACATACACCCCTACCCCCAGAGAGGACGCACACACACCTACCTCACAGGGAGGTCACACACAAACATACACCCCTACCCCTAGAGAGGACACACACACACCTACCTCACAGCGAGGTCACACACACACATACCCCCCTACCCCTAGAGAGGTCACACACACACCCCTATTCCCAGAGAGGACGGACACACACACACACACACCTACCCCCATAGAGATCACACACACACCCCTACCCCCAGAGAGGACACACACATACATACACCTCTACCCCCAAGAGAGGTCACACACACACATACACTCCTACCCCTAGAGAGGACACACATACACCTACCTCACAGCGAGGTCACACACACACATACCCCCCTACCCCTAGAGAGGTCACACACACACCCCTATTCCCAGAGAGGACGGACACACACACACACACACCTACCCCCATAGAGATCACACACACACCCCTACCCCCAGAGAGGACACACACATACATACACCTCTACCCCCAAGAGAGGTCACACACACACATACACTCCTACCCCCATAGAGGTCACACACATACCCCCCTATCCTCCAGAGAGGTCTCACACACACACCTCTCTTACACAGTGGGGACACACACACACACCCCTCTCTTACAAGGTGGGGGGGGGGGGGTGAGAGGTGACTGTCTGAATGGACCCTCCCTATCTGACCTTCTCTGCCCTCCACGCCTGGCTGGGCCCCCAGGCTGGACTCACCTCTCCTGATACCAGGCACCATATCTTCCCCGGGCAGTACCAGGGGGCTCACATAAGCCCCTCCACACAGGTTTCTGCCAGGGTTCACACAAGAAGGTGGACAGCAACAGCCTTTCAGGGTGGTGCAGCAGAGAAGGGATTGGAGCTGCTTCCAGCTGCAAGGGAGGGCAGAGGCAGAGCCAGTCTTAAGGGTGGGCAAGACGAGGGTTCACCCGAGGCTGCCATTTTCAAGGGGGCGCCGACAGAGCTGGTCTTACTCCCTGACCCTTTTCTTTTGTCTGGTATGTTTCTGAAAACATCTGGCAAGCCGGATGGTGGCCCAGGGCCACCAATTGGTTAGGACCAGCCCTGGGCAGAGGGGAAAAGGGTTGTGGGGGGTTGAATCACAGAAGTCCCCTGAGGGTTGTCCCCTGCTGTGCTGATCATGCCTTCCTGCTCTCTAGGGATCCCCATTATCTTGTCCTACTGTGCCAGATCCTCTGGTTTCCCCCAGACTAGGCACAGAGTTGGAGTTACCACTCCCCTGCAGAGCAACACAGACACTGAACCATCTCAGCTCTCAGGATTCAGCACTCAGGACACCAACCTTCAAGCCAGACCCATATGCAGGAATTTCTGGCGTGTGTGTGATTTTGTTTGGAAATGTGGACTGCAAAGGTGTGAATGCACCCTCCATGGTCCCCCAAGTAAGCAGGGAAATCAGCCCCAGCCTTCCCCTGGCTGGCCAGAGCAGGAGGGAAGGGAAGCTTAGGCAGTGCATCACTCCTGCCTTCCCCTGACTGGCTGAAGCATGCTGACTTGGAGAACCCTGGGGATGCATACGGGCCTGCAAACCCCAAATAAATCTGTCTTACCTTGTGTAAAAATTTTACACAAGAAAAGCTCATAATATCTGCTCACTTTCTCAAGAGGGAAATTACAAAGCAACATGTCAAAAATGTTTCCGAAGCTCCACCATCAACAGGCAGCTGGGCGACCACCAAAGCTGCAGCCTGTTGGCATGCATCAGAACACAAACCCCAGAGCTGCAGCTGGGGACACGGGAAAAAGCAGATCATTTTGACAGCTCTTTTTAGTGTCTGGCTCGTGGGCCTGATTCTCAGTTGATTTACATCGGCATAGTGCTCATTGAACTGAGTGGGCTTTTGCGGGTTGATGCTAGTTGAGAATCTGGCTTTCTGTGTGGGTTTTTTTTTATGGGACTATTTGGAGTAAGGTGAGAAATTACAGACATTAAAAGCTGTGGAAATCTCCTGTTGCTCCCCATGTCTCTGAAGCTCTGATCACCTTGACATAGCTAGGCTGACAATCTGGCTGCTTCCTACTGTAGGCCTTCAGATTTCATTTGATATGCTATCCAGGGCAGTTTAAAGCAATCGTTCTCAACGCGTGTAGTCACATCTGAACATGCTGACAATATTGTAACAAGAGGCTCCCACAAAACGTTCCCCCTCTAGCCTGTGAAAAGCAGTGGGGGTTTAAGTTTACATGGAACTTCGATCAAAAACAATCAGAAAGCTGCTGGCAAATCCAAGCTACTATCATTTGATATGCTATCCAGGGCAGTTTAAAGCAATCGTTCTCAACGCGTGTAGTCACATCTGAACATGCTGACAATATTGTAACAAGAGGCTCCCACAAAACGTTCCCCCTCTAGCCTGTGAAAAGCAGTGGGGGTTTAAGTTTACATGGAACTTCGATCAAAAACAATCAGAAAGCTGCTGGCAAATCCAAGCTACTACTCTT